TCACATGAAATTTGACCTTTTCTATCATCCATTTCTACATTTTCTAACAAAATTTTCACTTAACCTTAAATATTAAACTTGAATCTTCCTATTCCATTCTATCTATTCAATATTTTTTTACATACTTTTTCATCATTTACAAGAGGGAGAGATTTACTTCGATGTAGTAGCCGCTGCTTCGAAGATGCTGATATAGGGCCTTGAAATTGGTATGCGGATGATCGGCGTTCCAGTCCAGGATATTTGCTTTATCCCGTAAATCATCTCGTGGAAAATATCCCGGTGGATAGCGCATATTTCGATATTGGTCCCACAGTAATCTTTGGCTGCAAAATGTGAATCACTGATTAAAATTCTGGGAGTTTTTTTTTGCATTTCATTTATTTTTGTCGAAAAAATATGTCGGAAAAAAAATTACCTTTTCGGAGGTGTTGGAATAATTCGTACACGTAACAATAACTGCGCTGTTGAACGTTTCTGCACCCCATGATCTTCTGACTATAAATAACTGGGTTTTTTTTTTTATTTTTGCTTTTAATTACTACTTTTTGTCACAAAATCTTTTTCATAACCATAAAATATTCAAATTTAAAATAGTTATGAAAATCGTATTGGCTGATCGGCAAGGTCGTATTTTGCAGTGTGCAAGGGATAACGTCCTTACGAAGTGACGATGCTCAGCAACGAACCAAGGACATGCCAAAACAGCTAAAGCCCTCACCACGGGCTCCATTTGGGGGGAAATGCCAGACTAGAAAAGGACTGTAATTTTAATTTTAGATTATGTGTATTTACGTAAAAAGTAAGGTATAAAAGGATAAAGAGAAAATGATAAAGTAGAAAAAATGAAGAAGAGAAGAAAAACGATGAAAGAAAGAAGTGGAAAAGCGAAATGAGAGCAAAGAAATATTTGTAATGGGTAAGAAATGTTTCGGTCCATTAAGTCGTATATAATTCCTTCAAAGCGGAAAACGAATATAACTTCCTTCAAAGCAGAAAAGGAAAGTCAGAGCCACACCAACTGGCTGGGAATCAAGCGATGCAGCATTGGTCAAAGCAACTGGAAAAATTGTCGGATGGCAAGATAAATTATGAATTCCTCTTAACCAAAGTATTCTGAATATGATAATCGCAAATAATCAAGATTTACAGAGTCGCTTCCTTATTTCGATATCGATACTTTCGATGAAATTAAAAGAGAGGTTCATCGGTCAAAAAAAGAGGGGAAAAGAGGGAAGTAATTGGCAAAAGGAGGGAAGAAAAGCCAAAAAAAATTTTCCACAAAAAGTCCAAATTCACGAAATCTAATTGTAACAAAAAAACAAAAAAAAATTACTTAAATCCAAAAACAGTACCACGACCGTAACACTAATTCGTCCGCTTGCTGAACCATCATAAGTTGATCCATCCGCTACCACACTTACTGCAATCGCCATATAGCCGGACCAAGGCCAGAGTAGATCGGAATACATTATTGAAACATTTAGGATATCACCTTTTTCGTCCAGAAATGGCTCCCAGATTGGCTTCAAATAGCTTATTTATATAATTTTTACTCAAATATGATCAGGGCCAAGCTTTGTAACACATCATATCCAAAGAATAGCAACTTTCGTACGACGAAATGATAATGCTTCATACACAACGAGGACACACAGCAAAACCGCTAAAGCTCTCACCAGAGCGCTTTCGTCAACGGTTTAGCCGGTAATCCAATCAAGGATGTGCAACAATTCTGCACATCTTCATTTTTTACGAATCAAATTATGGTTCTCAGAGATCCAAAGGCTATTGAATTTTTGAAAGTATTCTTACCTCATCGACAATTCGACCTGATACACCCAATCCATTCACAATTGTGACCTGAAAGTTGCAAGAAACTTAAACTCTGAATTACAGCAAACAAAATGAAAAAAATGAAGTAAACTATAAGCGCATACAGAAAGAGTTATATAAATGCAAACACAAGACATTTAAACCAATTATTTAAATGTATATTTAAAGAAATTTAAAAAGAAAAAAATTAACTTAAATTTAAATATATTTAAACAAATTTAAACCAATTATATACATTTAAAAAAATTAAATACATATATTCAAGTAGCCATATATATTTAAATAATATAAATATATTTAAATAATTGCTATACACATAGCAGCATCGACTTGGTACATATATACTAGTATATGTAGTAGTCAGTATAAATGTAATAATAATTGGTGTATATAAGTAGTAATAATTGGTAAGTATGTGTACGTATTAACTAAGAAATAAGGGCAAAAGTAACCTAAATGTAATCCACCAATAAGTTTTTGACATCATAATTCCATACCCCCAAACGTAAGAAGAATCAAGCAGTCCAAAATGAATAAAGCGGAATTGTTTGGCAAAGAAAAAACTTACATTAATGATAGTAGGTAGAGCAGATGCATACAGGGGTTGACTGCAATACGGCCACATATACGGGCATTCGTTGAAATCGATGTATGGGGGAATCAGCCTAAAAATAATTATTAACTCGTTTCATTGATAAACTGCGCATTCTTATCATCCTGTTTAGTGCCAAGCAGTGCCGGGCTGTTGCTGAATGTCGAGGTTCAAATTTGTCAATGTAACAACCATTCTCTCTACGATTACTTCCTTCGTTTCAGTGGTAAACTGGTACTAGCGAGGAAGTCGAAGCCGCCATCAGCTTGCTTCTAAGCAATCTTTGAAAGGTTGTACCATCGAAAAGTTTACCAGCGTGTGTTTGCTGCTGACATTTGCTACCCAGTCGAGTTGCTATTGAGAGCCTCCGCTTTTCACACGGAGAAACTGTACGAATCGGGTTTAAATTGGGCCTAAATTTGCTTGAATGAAAAAAGAAGTAAAGGCAAGAGCGGCGGCTCCGTACTATTACCTTAATGCTGCAGTTAAAAAAAAATAAGGCTTCCGCTATAATACTGTTACAAAAAACTCGCAAAAAGTTGGCAAAGAATCCACCACAAAGAAAAAGAAGAACAAAGAAAAGGGTATCTTCTCTTGAAAGGCAGATACACAGTAAGTGTGCTGTCAGGCTGAACTTGGAGCACAAGGATCAGTGGTGTAGTGGTAACACATTGGGTCCGGACGTGAACACGAGTGGTTCGATTCCCTTGCAGTTCAGAACAATTTTTGAGAAAGGCCTCCGCTCACGACAAATGCCTGCATGAAGAGTATGGAAGGAATTTATCCAAAAATACTTTACGGAAAAATGGGGTGAAAATGAGTTTACGTTATTCGTGGTGTATATCGGCGCATAAATTGAAAGGATGCCAAAATGTTCATTTTGCCAGCTCCTTGCTCGAACATTGTTGCAACATTGGGAAGACGTGTTGCGCCTTCAATCAGTGCCTGCTTCACAACAGCTGGATTCCATAAACGCTTATCTTCAATTCCACTGCAAACTTGTACATGAATAACTCTACAGCACTAAAATACACGCAATTTCCTCGTTCAATTCAGCTGTTGAGGTAAATCCAAATGGAGCTAAATGCTAAAACAGGAGAAAACAGGTCAACAACAGATCATGCTGCATGTGAGAAAAGCGTTTAGAGCCCGTGAATTTCCCATTGAAATTCCCCATTAACTGTTCCTGTACCTGAGCATAACAGCAACAGCACCAGCAACAACGGGTGAGGCAACTGAAGTACCAGAAAGAGCTCGACAACCACCATCCAGAGCAGATCCGTACACGGATGCACCGTACGATACTATATCCGGCTTCACTCGTCCATAGCCAGCTGCAATCAATGCTCACTGAACTAAAAGCTCTGAGAAATACTGTATCGTTCATAATCAGTTAAGCCGGATTTAGCCAAGAAGAAATGAGATTTTAAGAAATTCCTGGTAGCAGAATTGGTAAAGCAGTAGAATTTTTGCAGTCGATTTTCCAAAAAATTACGAATCTTTCGTCAAGAAAATAGAGCTACCCTTCAGTTGAAATTAGGATATATAAGAAGGAGGGGGATCGATCTAATCGTTATGTGCAAGCAGACATTTTAAGATGCAGTCTGTGTTTCATCCCTTAGCTGCATTTGAGTAAGAATGGCAGTCACAGTCGCTATATATATATGAATAGCGTGTGTTAAATCCCGTAAGAGCGGAGTGACGAGAAAATAAAGAAGGCGAGACAATGCTGTGAAGATAGAGGATAAAGGGGAAGTGGATTTATTAAACGTTTTGTACCGTGCAACAGCTGCACAAGACGCAGATTTCCACACCCCTGTATGTGTATGTATCTGTGTGTATATGGGTGTGTGTGTTTGTGTGTGTGTGTGTGTGTGTATATGGATGTATACGTGCGTGTGCGTTTGTGTGCGTGTGTATGTGTTGGCTCGAGTGTGTTCTATTCGCGGTTTTCAACTCAGGAACCACAAAAGCTAGGAAGCTGAAAATTTAGAATAATGTTCCCTGCACCTCGTATGACCTCGCAAAATTAAATTCAACTTTCAAATAAGCATAGGCTTCACGCACGGGCATTTGGAAGTTTTGACGCCAAAATTGGTAACTCAGGAACCACCAAAAATCGCTGCCAACGGAAGCTGCTTTTATTTTTCGGTTTAAATCGGCCTGCTTCTACTTCTTAATCACAGAGTAAGTACAGAGAGTGTTTTGATTTTAAATCTCGAAAATTTCACATACCGGGCAATTCCCATGTGGTCATTCCACGAGATGAAAAACGAGCAATTTTAGAATCGGCATTAATACCACCAACGCCAATAACATCCATTTGATCTGCCGGATTATTTAATGTCCTGAAAATCGACAAATTATTGCATTGAATACAAAATTTACTCACGATTACAATAAATAATGCGCAAGAAGCCATACAAGGAAAAGTTTTTGGAAAAACCTATAAAAAATTTTCCAAAAAAATTTAGAAAAACAAAAAAAATTTTAAAAAAAGGGAAGAAAGTGATTACCCAAATTTTGGCCCATCGTTACCAATTGCTGAGATTAGAATAATTCCATTCGCAGTTAGTTCCCAGACTTTGTCCATGAATGGAAGATCTGTAAAATCAGGCCCACCGATGCTGCAAAAACAAAAAAAAAATACGTGCCTAGTAATTCTAATTAAATTTTTTCAATATTTCAAAAAATAAAAAAAAATTATTTCTACAGGAAAAATTTGAAAAAAAATACCTCAAATTCAAGACATTTATACCTCGTAATATAGCATGATTGAAGGCATCTAAGAACCAAGAAGTGAATGAAACCTAAAATCAATGATTTATTGAGATAGCGAAAATACGAATAATACAGAGTATACTTTATTTAAATGCATACTTAGTAACTTTCCCACTTTATTTTTGACCCAGTATATATTAACCCCTCCAAACTATGCTAAAAATGGACGAATTTGTAGCACACGATCCATGTCAGTCACAAAAAAAA